CTTCTTGATGTTTTTTTTAGATGTACAGTATATTTCCAAAGAATATTGTTGTTGTTAAAATGTATAACTTTCAAGCAATGCATCTGAACAAAGAGTATAAGTCGAGGATTATGTGGATTTGTTAGTTTCATTTATATAGCTTTAGCTGCTTGATTGCAGTATGTGCTCTGCCTTTAGTTGCTGTTGGGGTTTCATTAACACGCTTACACAAAACGCAGTGCAAGCCGATAGTCTCGTGTGGCATCTGTTACACTCTATTTAAGGCACCCGAGACCCTCTATGAATTACAAACATGTACATCCACAGAATGGCAACACCCTGTCAAAGGCCAAACTTTCATTCATCATCATCATCATCATCGTCGTCGTCGTCATCAGATCTATCCTTGACTAGATGAAGGACTCCTCACATCGTCGCCCTCTTTCCCAGTCCCGCAATGCTATCATCGCTCCATCTTTACAATGGTCATCCTCTCAGACCTGTTCCCTCTTTGACTGCCTTTTCATCTGCAGTCTTGTCCGATGGCGAGCATCCCTTTCTAGCGACGTGTCCTATCCAAGCCAACTTACTTTTCTTAACGGTCAATATGATGAGTACTTTCTCCGGCAGTACATATGCTGTACCAAAACAGTCAATATGATGTATTTAAGTTACGTTTGTTCTCCGTTCCGTTGTTCTCATATTTCAATTTCTCAGTGTAATTGCCAGCAAGACATTCATTGCCATTGATGCCAGCCAAGGATGGGAATCAAACTCAGGTCGCCGCGCTAATAGCGCTGTGTGTGATCCACCGCACAATGTCTGAATAATATTCAATTGATCTGTTTATATCTGCTGAACTATAGTGTTGCACGGTGTTTAACGTTGCATTTATTCTTGGCCTTTCAAAGCTATTGACACAGTATCTAAAGGGGCCTCTGTGTATAAGCACCATAAATGTGAAACAGGCGTGGAGAGGCACAGCAAACAATGATTAAGGCCCTCGTTTAGCCATCACTCTTGTCTTCCCTCTCAAGTTGTGCGTCTTAGATCTAGAACTCAAATCCAGTTTGTTTTAAGTACTGGCTTTGGGATGACATGGGTACTGAATTATATAGGGCGATCTATTTATAGATATCCTCTCCGATGTTTTGTTTCTGGTTGTACACGATGTCCGACGTTCCGCTTCACTTGTAGTGAAACATCGTATGTAATAATTATCATTATTTTTAGTAGTGTAATTCATGCAAACTCTTATCTCATATGCTGCACAATCTGCAACTCACGGAACTGTTCATACACGTGAGGGGAAACCAGAGCACCCTGAGAACACCCACAGATGGAACAGATGGAGATTAGTCCCATGATTTGCTGTACCGCATTCTCCTGGCAAGCCAGGGCATGGCACCTCAACGTCACGGGAAGGGAGTTTCGCAGCATCCTGCGTGCGATAAAAAGGCGTAGCACATGAAGAAGGTCATTGCCTGGAACTACACCGATTATTTTTCCTTTTAAGGCAGTAGTATTTTCTTCGATTGCCTTAAAATATATATAACATATTAAAAAAAATAGTATAATATATAATAGGCAAATGTTTAGGCAATGGCCCTGATTCACGTGCTATGAAAAGGACCATTGCCGTAAATGTCGCCTATTTTTATTATTACACGCTTTTATTTAACTCACTCTGTCTGTTGTTGTCGTATCCTCAAATCTTGTAACTCAATTTTAACCCACTTCCCAAATGTGATATCGACTGCAAACTGGGTATACTTATGTCATACTGATGACAATACTATATTCTATCATTTAAAAAAAAAACATTTTAAAACATTATTTTTGTATGTTATGTTTCGGCTTGGGTCTAACTGTCCACGGTCAACTGACGTTGGCTGTATCACCACGGCCCCTTACGTTATGGCAAGCTTCGGGGCCATTTCCTGGAGTCGTGGAGTTCTTCCATTGCTAGTACGGTGCATTTAATTAAAGCGTGTTTAAAAAAAAGGTTTTTTTTTCAATATTACTCATTATTTCGATTTAAAGCTTTCGTGACTGCAATGATTCATCTTCTTTGGTTCTTTCGGTAAAGTCACGTAGAATGATAATAAAATAATAAATTGCTAAAATAAAATAACACAATAATATTCTCACGTGTGGCCGAAACGTCGTGAGAATATTATTGTGTTATTTTATTTTATCAATTTATTATTATATTATCATTCTACGTGACTTTACCGAAAGAACCAAAGAAGATTACTCATTATTCTTAAGGCTACACGCACAGTGTTTATTGTGTTGAGTTTTTTTGTCGTTGCTATTTGTGCTTGTGCCAACGCAGCAGAAGCATTGCTACAATAATTCGTACAATAGATGTACAGTGAGGGAAAAAAGTATTTGATCCCCTGCTGATTTTGTACGTTTGCCCACTGACAAGTAACAGTGAGAGACAGAAGAGAGACAGAATAATAACAAAAAAATCCAGAAAAACGCATGTCAAAAATATTATAAATTGATTTGCATTTTAATGAGGGAAATAAGTATTTGACCCCCTCTCAATCAGAAAGATTTCTGGCTCCCAAGTGTCTTTTATACAGGTAACGAGCTGAGATTAGGAGCACACTCTTAAAGGGAGTGCTCCTAATCTCAGCTTGTTACCTGTATAAAAGACACCTGTCCACAGAAGCAATCAATCAATCAGATTCCAAACTCTCCGCCATGGCCAAGACCAAAGAGCTCTCCAAGGATGTCAGGGACAAGATTGTAGACATACACAAGGCTGGAATGGGCTACAAGACCATTGCCAAGTAGCTTGGTGAGAAGGTGACAACAGTTGGTGCGATTATTCGCAAATGAAAGAAACACAAAAGAACTGTCAATCTCCCTTGGCCTAGGGCTCCATGCAAGATCTCACCTCGTGGAGTTTCAATGATCATGAGAATGTTGAGGAATCAGCCCAGAGCTACACGGGAGGATCTTGTCAATGATCTCAAGGTAGCTGGGACCATAGTCACCAAGAAAACAATTGGTAACACACTACGCCGTGAAGGACTGAAATCCTGCAGCGCCCGCAAAGTCCCCCTGCTCAAGAAAGCACATGTACATGCCCGTCTGAAGTTTGCCAATGAACATCTGAATGATTCAGAGGACAACTGGGTGAAAGTGTTGTAGTCAGATGAGACCAAAATGGAGCTCTTTGGCATCAACTCAACTCGCCGTGTTTGGAGGAGGAGGAATGCTGCCTATGACCCCAAGAACACCATCCCCACCTTCAAACATGGAGGTGGAAACATTATGCTTTGGGGGTGTTTTATGCTAAGGGGACAGGACAACTTCACCGCATCAAAGGGACGATGGACGGGGCCATGTACCGTCAAATCTTGGGTGAGAACCTCCTTCCCTCAGCCAGGGCATTGAAAATGGGTCGTGGATGGGTATTCCAGCATGACAATGACCCAAAACACACGGCCAAGGCAACAAAGGAGTGGCTCAAGAAGAAGCACATTAAGGTCCTGGAGTGGCCTAGCCAGTCTCCAGACCTTAATCCCATAGCAAATCTGTGGAGGGAGCTGAAGGTTCGAGTTGCCAAACGTCAGCCTCGAAACCATAATGACTTGGAGAAGATCTGCAAGAGGAGTGGGACAAAATCCCTCCTGAGATGTGTACAAACCTGGTGGCCAACTACAAGAAACGTCTGACCTCTGTGATTGCCAACAAGGGTTTTGCCACCAAGTACTAAGTCATGTTTTGCAGAGGGGTCAAATACTTATTTCCCTCATTAAAATGCAAATCAATTTATAACATTTTTGACATGCGTTTTTCTGGATTTTGTTGTTATTCTGTCTCTCACTGTTCAAATAATCCTACCATTAAAATCATAGACTGATCATTTCTTTGTCAGTGGGCAAACGTACAAAATCAGCAGGGGATCAAATACTTTTTTCCCTCACTGTATCTCGAGCAGGATTCTTATTGTGACATCACGTGCACTCCGTGTGGTCTCCTCGGGCACACAATGGCTCGTGCATTGTGGGTGGACTCACACTTATCCTGGCGAGGCCACGACCTGGCAACGGACCCACACCATCGGCACAATGCCCGATGTTGCGTCGAGTGAGTCATTGTTGGGGCAAATTAATTGGTAATGCTGCTGCTGCTGCGTTGGCAGTGGAGTACAAATAGCGACAACAAAAAACTCAACACATTCGTAAATAACACCGTGGCTTAAAAAAAAAGTCTATAACAGGAAACGTTTTGGCCAATGGCCTTTCCCCACAGCACTTAAAGGTAGAATCTGCCTTGTTTCCCTCTGTTAATGCAGTAGAATGATTCTCACTGACTGGGTACACCACCACACAAAGCATGCCAATGGTAGGGCAAGTTTACAGAAAATATATTCAGGGAATTTAATTGACTCTTGAAAATGTGCAGGTTTTCGTGGTCCTGTATAGATCTCTGATGTGTGTTCGGATTGTACCGCGTGTGTGATGTGATGTATAGCACATGGCATAACCCGAGAACGCATCGAAGAGCTCTGAATGAACTCCTAAGTACAGCAATTTGCTTAGATTCAAGCATGTATTTCCATACATGTGCTAACATTAACCTTTTAGATTCACAGTATGTTTACAAGTACACCTGCTTGTTATGGATATAAATTTTAACTGAGTTTGGCTTTTAGGGAATAAAAAACCCCTAAAAAATAGAGTGATAAGTGGCTACTTTTTATTTTAATACCACGACAAGCCTTTTACGAAACTTGTCTTCTATACAGAGTACAGCATATTTAGCACGTAACACAAGATAATGCGCATCATTCATATCGTGTCCTCTTCATATTATCCGCAGAAGGGAGATTGTTAGTCTCTGGATTATTATCAGATGCACTTTCCACCCCTGTAGTTTAAAGCAAACGCTGGGGGGATGTCTTCTAATCCCGTAGCTGTGTGTGAGTGAACACTTTTGTTTAACTTTATTGAACCTGGTCAAAAGTTAAGCGTGCGTCTTACTTTTTGGAGAGTCTCATAATCCGAAGAATATGGCATGTGGTTTGCTATCCAGCGTGTTATCTTGTAATGGTAATCATATAAACAGTATCTTGCAGTACTTACTGCCAAGGAACCGCATCGTCACGCGAATTACGAAACGTACATGGTCAATTGTAAAATCAGTTCCAAAAATGAGGACCATACTGCCATCACCTGCGCTTCCAAAGTAACGTTGTGGAAGCACACAACGTAAATGGAGCACACGTGGTTGCCAAGGGGAATTTCTGATTCTGACACGAAATTAGAAACATTCGAGAGGTTTTATGGAGCACCACGACTGAAAAGTGTTTTCACCTCGTTCCTTTCACACAGTGTACCTGAATATTTATTACAGAGCCGCCGTGAAACCTGCCTGCTGTTAAATGTAAATTGCCGACCAACCACGTACGTGTATGGTGGATCAGGTGACTATTTGCACACTTCGATGCAGCTTGCTTTAATCTGCAAGGGCTTTCCGGCTGCTTAGTGACTGATGCGATAACGATCTGTCATCTCTGCCAGTCCCATGAGAAACCGCTCACTCTAGAAGATAAAGCAGATCCCTCTCCTTAAAGCTAAATCAGGAGGTACATTCATTCAATGACAAGCGAGTTTCCTGAATAATACATGAAGCTATCCATCACAAGTTTAAGTATTTTGAAGAGGGTATTTTGGTATGTATATACTGCTATATGCTCTGAACTATTACACACTTTTGGGATTTCTATGGGAACGTCGTGATTTTCCAGCATGCAAGTTTGCCATTGTTTCCATCACGAGCTTGATGAAGATGCATCAAATGTGTATTGCACAGTATTACTTTACATAGTCTAAGCTATTTGGATGAACTCTGCTGTATTTTCCCTGGAAATACCACTAAGGAAATGGTTCAAGTAGTATTCTTAATTTCAGGAACCTTCTAAAAAAGACATGTTTGTATCAATGTGTGTGCAATGTTGAAGACTAGTTTACCTAGAACGATTCTTAGCTTACACATGTAGTAAGGATATTCCAGCATAGCTAATATAGTGCGTGCTTTTATCAGATATTCAGTAAGATTAAAACAAATATGCAATTTACAGCCTTTTGTCAATCCACTACAAGATGAAGGCCTCCCTATAGTTGTTAGAAATGGGGGTTGTTTTACCATACTTCACCACATAGGGTCAGTGCGGGTTGGTAAATGGGGAGGCCCAGGACTGGTTCATATTTTACTTTTCACTGATGTTAGCCATGGCCAGAAATGCTACTCATGTAAGTCAGATTGATAATACAGTGTGGTAATCACTCCACCCCACTATAGGGTAAGCATTTTTAATGTTTACATTTTATAACATTGTTAACTCTGGTTACACACATACAACTGTTAAAAACCATGGTTATTTAGACAAATGTTTAAGATATTTTTTTTAATATATACATCTCTTTTTTAGAATCAGATGCTTTTAACCTTAAGAATAATCCAGACTCTTTTAGAACACATTTAATTATCTTTTATTACCACATTGATGCATTGAAAATTGCAGTGTTCCTGATATACAATATGTTTCCCTGCATAAAAAAGCAGTTTTCTGTGAATAAATTAGTACAAGTAGTACAAAAATAAACCAGTTTCTTTAAAGTAAATGTCAATGCATAAATAAGCGGTTAGATTTCACCACCCTTGCTTTTCCAGTCCTAGATGTTCTGTATTCGGCAAAAAATACAATCTATAATTAACATACAATATCATGCTATAGTCATATACATTAGAAAAAAACTTTAAAAGAAATATTGACAGCCTATGGTTAATACAAATACAAGGGCTCGGAAAAACGCGTGACCTTTTTGACATGTCCAGGTCACAACAGCTTCGAAAGGAGCATACAGGCCCTGAGGCTGATTGGATCCACGTGAGTGGAATTGACTTTGCCTTTGAGCCCCCGATGTCAGCCAGCTGTCAGGCCCTGCCACTGATGTATCATTGAGCGCCAACAGATGGGCAAATGCCCTGGGTCACTCGCATGGAAAGAATCACCTGCAGGGGAAACACACTGGCTAAGGGAACACAGAAGGCATGATGAAATCTGTCCAGGAATGCTGTGGTTGGCAGGGAAAAGCATTCTCTGGCCTTCCGGTCCTTGCCTCAAATTTGCCGGGAGCAACTAAAAGGAAATAACAATGATTTTTGGAGACTTCTGATGGGATTTACTTGGCTTTTTACACACGGGTCACCGGAATCCCATGGAGTACAATCATTTGTAGTGCTACAGTCCTTATCTTCTTTTAGCTGTGTTACAGAAATCCATAACAAACGTGTTCAAAACAAACCGCTAAGCAATTTCACAACCAACTCGTGTCCTTGGTGTAAGTTCATGTCCTGGAAATGTGTAACAGCATTAAAAAATTTGTTCCAAGAAGTGTCCTCAGAACTCTTTGGCATCTTTTAATTGAGCGTTGAAGACCTCTTCTGTCGGGTTCTCTGTACAATGCAGGCCATTGTTGGGTGGCCGCGCTTGGTGATACCTACTCCAGTCGCCTTTACAAATGAGCCAGGGTAGGATGTCCACCTTGTAGTGGAGCTCTGAGGAGAACTCAGTGCTGATGAGGTTAGGCGTTCCGGCGCCCTTGCCCTGTGTGAGAAGCCTCATTCCCTCGTCATAGCAGCAGTGCTGCGCCGCCAGTGTGGCGCTCTCCAGGGAGAGGAGGGAGCGGATGCAGTAGCGCGCCGTGGGCTTGTACACCTCCAGCTTCTCCTTGGGGCCGCTGGCGTCCTTCCAGCGGAAGTCGCGGCCCAGCTGAGCGTCCAGAACTTCGGTGGTCCCATAGGCCACTTCCGTTGGGTATGCGCAGGGGCAGTTGGGCAGCTCTGTTGACACCTTCTGCAGATATGTAACCAGGAACTCAGCCCTACAAGTCACCCATCTCTCGCAGTTGTCCACATCTGTGAAAGCAAAAAAAAAATATTTTTTTTACAGGATATCTTTTCCCCCATGAGCGTCGGTGCCTGTACAGCCACCTTCTAATCTCCATAGAACTGAAATGTCCCCAGTTGCAATTTCCCCAATGTTGACCTATCAAGTGATAGATGAAAGCCTCCCAATGTCATCATCGTTCAAGGTTCGAAGATGGCACGAGTTATTTCGCTTCTGCGCATGAGACTATGTCGTTGCTCCATCTCCTCGGTGCATCATCTACTGGGCATGTTACCATCTCTGGGTGCCAATGTATCACCATTTTCCACCTTCGGCTGTCATCTCTACTGTAAATGTGTTCTGCCCAAGCCCACTTACTTTCCTTAAAAAAATCTACGTCTTTAATTTGCATTAATTTCTGATCCATGTATTTCTCTCTCGGTGTAATTTCCACCATGCTTCTGTGTGCACCTTACGGCTTTCGCTACATATTATTTCTCAGAATCCATCTCCAATCCATATGTGTTATTATAGAGGCACACTGGTATGTTGCGTTTCATTATCGATTGAAATTTCCCCAAAGCACTCCAACGCGCTCTCGCTCACCTCTTCATTTCATCATTTGCATCCAGAGATATGCAGATCTTTATTTGCACACATACACACATACCCTGGTGTATGTTACATTTGTGTCCCTCCAACGGTCATTTCCTTCTGCTCAGTGAACCTCTTGTGCACCATTTTTGCTTTGCCGATACGTCCATGTAGCCCCGCGCTCTGAGATGCGTAAGAGTCACGTCTCATAGCGAAAGGTCGTCCTCTTAGTCAGCAGTCACCCACCGGTGGGACGGTGAAAGTCCGGAGAAGGGCTGACTGCACTCGCCAATGCAGCGCGCAGTGCAAGTAACGTTCTGTTTACCAACTAGCTGGCCTGCGGCACACATCGGTGGCACTCTAGGTATGCCGCCTGCCGTGTGTATTTGATCGCACGCTTTTATGACATCAAATCAACGGGGAAGATCGACCTCGTGCAAGGCGCCCGGTCCCTCAACTTTTGGCCACACCCCTTTGTCCCCAGGCCACGCCCCTTACCGATTAGACCACGCCCCTTCCCCTTTCGGCTCCCCCTGTGCCCTTGTTTTCTCTTTAGGATCTGCCCCATTTGTCTCCACGCCCCTACCCCTTTTCTCCTGGACACAGCAGGGTTGGGCTTGTTTGGGTGGTGGTGGTCGGGGGAGGGGGGCATCAGTAGTCGTGGTGTGCGGGGGGGACAGGAGGTAGGGGTGGGGGGTGGCCTCACAAAGACCAAAATCCTCAGAGCAATAAAAAAAAGTTTACAATTTCGGGGGAAACAATAATCATCACATACCAGATCCAAGGATGTCTGTAGAATTGCGGTTATCCTGTGCTAAGAGCTCCACATTGGATGTTGCCGGCTTAAATATATCCTCCATTCCTGCAAGAAACGCACAAAGATTGAAATACATTTATTAAAAGCAAGTGTTGTATTCTACTTGTCACACAATGGAACTGGTAGTTTTTGATTGAAGCAGTTGCAATACGATGTTCCCTCAAAACTGTCTGATATGACAAGATTTGTTCAGGCATTGCCTTACCAGCGGATAAATTGGAGACCCTTTTTCTTTTATTGTATTCTGCTTTAGCTACGGGTAATCATATACTTAAAAGATTCGAGTGTTATCCACGTTTTAGAAGGCTGCAATCATTATGCACTGCTTATAAAGCATGCTATAATTAAAGATCATGGGTGCAGAAAGCTCACCTTAGTCTGCGACTCATGCGGTGCGTGACTGTGTTCATGGCCATAATCTTTAAATCACTGCGTACATTTTCATTTAGACGGCTAACGACAGACGTCGTTAGCACTCGTCTATTGCAGGGGCCAGGAAATAGTTGTTTAATACGATAAATATTGGTCAGAATTGCAGTAGACTCCCGCGGCCGTGAACTGTTATGAAACGCACGTGCATGGCCATGGTTAAGTCCTAAGGGAGGATCGCTACATGTGGCTTGAAGTGCTTAGCTTTAGCCTGATACATATTGTGGTTTTCTTCTGGTTAGTCTTATTTCTGGACTGAATTAGAAAAAAAAAACAAGACAATAAAATTACACCAATTTAAAATATTCCTTCAAATGTTCTCTAAAAGGCCACCATAAATCGTTTTACTGAATGGCGGTGAGACATCTCCATTCACCAGTTGCCTTATGCGGCACTGAATGAACGTTGCTTTCCCAGTTCAGTATTTTAGAATCTTGCAACAATGGATATTTTAGACACCAGTCGTCACCATCGTTTGAGGAGGGTTGAAATGAGAGAGGTGAGTGTTGATGCAGTGACTCGGGTTGGGCATTCGGCGCGGTGTAGGTGTCAATACCAGCGCAGCCGGGCAGGTCGCATGTACGAGCTTCTGTGGCAGTGCAGGAGTAACCGCAGGAGCGCGTACGCTTTTGGCTGCCACTGCCACAGGTGACGCTGCACGAAGACCAGGGACCCCACTGGCCCTCTCGTTCTCCGTCATCTGCGGACATACAGCATCTGCTGTTTAAATATCCCCCCAAAAAATAGCATAAGCAGCCACTTACTACGACAAGGTTTAGCGTCACTCAGATGATGTGTTTCAGTCCTCGTTAGCCACCTGAAGTAAAACTGTTCCCATTCATGGCATGTCCATGGACCAAGGAATACGTGGCAGCCTAGCGTTGCTCTGAAGAGCAAAAAGGGCACGTAAGTGCAATATTTGTTTTACATTCAGAAGATAGCCACAGAGGAAACAACTCATCTACATAGATGATTGAAATATCATGAAAAACTTATGACATCGATTTCACTTTGTTTCACAACAATGTTTGCTTGTTACATTTCCACAATAGGCCATATTTTTCTTCATGTCTAGATACTAATAGCTTCATGGGAGTACAATTGTAGATGTTCTACACATATATTTGCATATACCTCTTTGCATGCTGATTTCAACACATATCATTGCCATTTCTTATAATATTGTGGTGATACTCAGTTTATTTTTCAACTTCTTGGAGTAAACTTTAAACAGTGCATTCCAAGGTTGACACTATGCACCAAACCTCCTCGCCGGCGAATGGATCAATTGTTGTAGCGGTTCGAAAGTTAACACCTCTAGTGGCAGCGGGGGGGGGGGGGGGGGCGAGTGGACCAATCACACAAAACGTATGCGTGGATCTCAAAACATCCGATTGTTACGCAGAGAAATCTGGCGCGTGCATCTTAAGCTTAAGAATCAATATAAATCCACGAGCCGACGCATGTAACATTGCCGGTGCATCGAGTCCATCGTGCATCTCATAAGGGGCATTTCTCACCATACTTAGCGTCTGCGGTGGCTCCCCACGGTTTAGTGGTGAAAAGGCCTCTAAACCATCCAAAGAGTGGGTTGAGAAAGTTGCTTTCCTCAGCCGAGACAGCTTCTCTCTGCACTGGGTTAAGTGCGGCGCCTTCGGCCCTGCGAGCGCCTGCGCCCGGGCGCCACCAGCCCTCGCGCCCGGGTTGCCGAGAAGCCCGTGCCGCCGCCGGCACGCCGTGCCGCGAACTCGCGCCACTCCGCCAAGCGCCGCCGCCGCCGCCGCCGCCGTTGTGCTTGAGCTCCATGTCCACGTCTCCCTCCGCCTCGTCCACCACCTCGATTGTGACCTGGCCCAAGAGAAGCGCCGTTTCGCCGACGTTGAGAGTGAAAATCCGCAAAGGTTGTGAGGCACACCCCCCGCGATGGCCTTGCTCATGCCACTGCTGGCCGTGCTACCAGAGGCCCCCTCGAGAGAGGATATTTTGGCTGGACGTCTTGGAAGACGTAGGAGTTTCGTTTTTTTTTTTGTTAATAAAAACTCTCTTTATTTTTACTCTTTGGTTCTTTCGGTAAAGTCACGTAGAAAGAAGAAATAGAATACGACGTTTCGATTGCAACACAAGCAACTGTCATCAGGTGTGAATGAGTGCAAGCTCGGAGAGAGACACATACAGAGAGAGAGACAACAGAGACACAGCGAAACAACGCCTCTGTGATGAGACATTTATATATAGAGAGAGAGGGGGGGGGAGCAGAGAAATTAGCATGTCAATGAGAGCGGCAAGCGGGAGAGAAATTGGAAGTTTTGACAACCCCAGAAAAAAACTTGTTTTCATTTATTTGTATTTACTACTTAAGTCTCTTATAGTATTCGTTGCGCACGGTTGCACCTAATTTTGCACGCGGTTGTAATTTACTTTGCTCAGCCAGTGTTAGCGGCGGAGGGCGTGACGGGTTTCTTTTTTCATTCCTGCTGCGCTGTGCCACCGGTACCGTTCCAATTTCGTTGTAATGTGCGCCGATGTCGACTTTATTGAGAGCAATATTGCCACGTAAAATAAAGATTGATTGAGGAGTAATCCACACTTGACCCCGCCACATGCGACCAGCTGATAGTTTAAATGTGGTGCGTGCCCTAAGCATGCAAAACACATGTTCAACGGCATACATGTGGAGTTGTAACCAGCTAATGTGACAAAAAAATTGATCATTTGCGCCTAGGACAATTTACAGAGCTATTTAAGTAATTCCAATAATCCACTGGAGTAGCGTTTGTTCGATTACAGTATTGACATTGTACATTTCTGATCTCATAGCTTTACATGTTCGTTTCTCAAGAGGTTAAACAAAAATAATACAATCTACTTGCACGTATAAAGAGTTATTGGTAACTTTGTAAACAAGAGCTGATTAAATTAATTTCGTGCTTGTGCCTTTAATTTTACCCAGCAACGGTTCACGAAGCTTCAAGGCTCTTTCAGGGGGGGGGGGGGGCTCTGTAGTTGTGACAGGTGTTTGGCCAATTACATTAATTTATTCGTTTCTCAAACAGTGCCCCTTTAAATGATGTTTACTGTCCCAGGACAACAGTATTTCAAATTGCAATTCCGTGGTCTCTTTCGTTACATCATCCCGTTACTCTCACCACAAAGTACCACACTTCATTGTCACATTACATATTGAGCCCAAAGTTATCGCTGTGCTTTTGGCAGTGGCACTTACCTGGATATTAGGGTTGTGTCCAGCGAGGTCCGCTCGCGACAGATCTGGGATGTTCTCCAGGTTGAGCACGAAGGTCTCCGGGCTGTCACTCAGCATCTCCAGCTTCTCTTGACGCCTTCGGTTGCGTCCTCTGCCTGCCTGGCGCTGCCTGGACCGACGAGGAGCCCCTTCCCTGCCGTGCCCCCCGGACACGCTCCTGTTACCAACTGCGCCCGGCGACGTCCCGTCCAGCGATCTCGTCCGCTCCTTCAAAGGGGCAGGCACGGGCACGAGTGAGTTCAATGTGTGAACTCTGGCATTTTTAAAGCACGAGCTGTCTGGGGCGTGAATTGAACGATACCATGGTTCTCTCCGATGCGTTTTCAGCTTTCACCGCGTGTTGCTCATCAAAGTATTGCTCCACGTGCTCGGTGAGCTTCTTTCGGAACGGAATTTTTCCCAAATTCAGTGCCTAAAGACGCTCCCAGCACGTGGAGCAACATAGGAACCGAACAGCTCCCGAAGAAGCTCCCAGCACGGTGGAGTGAAACGTTGAGATATCTTTCCGAACAACTTTATGTTCAGTTCCCGAAGCTCCGAGGAAGTGGAGTGCAACATCGAACATCACGCCAAACAACACGTGGTACAGCCCAAAAAAACACACAGTGAAGAGCATAACCGCGACAACCGACACAGATGTACAGACATGGCCAGTGCAAGAGAACCATATGTTTGTTGTTGGGTGTTGTGATGAAAACTTGTGGTTTGTAATTAACAACAATTTAATTGCGGTTGGGGGGATTTTTTTAGAGATTGTGATTTATTGTCATCATCAGAGTTGTGAACTGTAGCCACGTGACAGCCAATTTAGATGCAAGTGATTTGTTTTTGTAAGGGAGATCTTGCACATCTTTGAACACACGTGTATGTCATTTTTCATATTTGCTGTGCACATAGGATGCCTTATTTTTTGCGCAAAATTCAAATCGCAGTGCATTAGTACGTAGATCTTGCTGTTAATATCGTCATAGAATGGACAACTATTGCATTAACACATTAAGTACAATGTAGGTTGCAGATTGCATTAACACATTAAGTACAATGAAGGTTGCAGATTGCATTAACACATTAAGTACAATGTAGGTTGCAGATTGCTTTTCTAAAACTGGGCCGACAACCTATTTTCGAGACATTAAATTCCAATTTAAAAGAGTCAAATAAGTGATACATGCATTTATTATATATACAGTACAGTATATATAATGTTAAGCCACTGCTATAGATCAAGGCCTTCCGGCCATGAAGATTGTTTGACCATACTTCACCACACTGGTCAGTGCGGGCTGGTGGGGTGGGAGCGGTGTTCAGCTGTCACTCGCCACTGATGTTAGCCGTGGCTGTGGAATCGAACTCTGATTGACGGCTCCATAGCGCTGTGTGCTAACCACTGCGTCACCGCTCCACAATATAAACTCTTACAAAAAAAATACCTATTGGAGAGCAAGCAATCACTGCAATGCAAATAACAACTCAGATTATGCATCACGTACTACAATTAACCTATTGGACAAGCCACTTCGTTGAGCTATTATTTGTGGTTAGGTCGCTGCTGAAATTAATCAAATACGTCAGTGGGCTTTACCTGATAAAACGAGAATAGTTTATTTTTGAGTGATTTGCTTACCTTGACTATACTTCTATCGTGTTTTTTGTAACTTTCTAATCCGCCGCTACTGGACATCCTTTTAAAAAGAGCTTCATAGCTCATCGGATTCCTCCAGTGTCCATAACGAGTCTGATTCAATGGGAAATCATACCCTAACAGCCCAGAGTATTTGTGAAGTGTGTGCTGGGGCCTGGGATGAAAAGAGTCAATGTGTGAATTTCCCATCTTGCCGAGATACGCAGTGATGCAACGTCCCGCATGGCCCGACGCGGAGCCACACGTGTCACGTGAAGTGCATGCCGTGTGAAAGAGCCCTTCGTATGTTTTCCATGCATGAGCGGTATTCCAAGCCCTAAGCATTGCCGTCTCTAATTACACGTGAATACTCACCCCGACACGAACACATTCATTCACCTCTTAACACGGAACACCTCAAAATATTCTATTAACACGGAAACACGTTATTGGCATTCGTAATAGCAACGTGTTCGCAATGAACCGAAATAATACGCAGATCGACTAGAATGGGATTTCAACTCCTTACAAATGACAGTACTTTTGAACGGGATCCTTCATAAGTATCAGGGTATGTCATCTGTCTATTAACTCTTTGTATGCACAAACTCTTTACAGCAACCTATAAGGTTGCAGCATGCGCATAAACCCACCAACTATCACACTTTTGAGTTCCACATTGGAAGTCGGTCGCAAACCCACAACATTAACACATACTTTACACGGTAATATGTATGCAGAATAGCCACAGTGGCAGTAGCGAAGTAGGTCTGCACTACGTAGGACACGAGGTAGGTAGAACGCGCGTTTTAAGTTGACCTACCTGCAGGTCGCCCCTGCGTGTTGCTGGCTGATCGCCGCCGTGTCGCACGGCCGATGTGCCCAGCAACGTCCCAACGTGTAGGCTCAGCATGGCCAGTGCCAAGAGCGACATCAAATCGGTCGCGGGCTTTCCTCCCATAGCTCTCGTCGAGGTCTGCCGCTCCTCCTCTCTCCTTCTCTGCAGAGTCCCGGTTTAAATCCACAGGCTCAGTTGCCGTGCCGTTGTCGAGTAACGTTGGGTCAGTTGCGGAGATGGAAATTCCTCGTTGATGCGTTCGCCTCTTTAGAAGTTTCTGAGCGTTCTATCTCGAAGTAAGCTGCGTTTTTCAGCACCGCACTGCAACACAAAGCGGGAATTAGTCACACGCTATCGGTTATTACAGCACACATCACAGCCCGAACAAAAAAGCAACCCCCCCCCCCATATGCCGAGCTGTGGAGAATCCAAGTGGAGGAGTTGTTCACTGCAGGGACTGATGCACTACTTACTTGTGATGCTGCGGCGACAATGATCCGTAAAATGTGGAATCAAGTTGCTGCTATTAAAAGAAAAAAAACATCAAGGGCTCTTGTCCGGCTATGGGTGTAAACTAGAGTGCGGAATTGTCAATCTTAAAAGCCGTGACGTGTGACATTTTTGTTATATTATTATTTGTACGCACATATATTGTTTTCTCTCTCCCGACTCTGCCGCTGTCGTGAGGCGCTCACGCCTCCGGATTGTTGGGGGTGACTGTGATGCCTGTTATCTCTCGCTCTGAAGGAACTGGCGGATGAGATGTGAGTAACTGGCTTATAAACCTCCCGGCTACTGCTCAGAAAGATGATGCTGATAGCCGCAGATGTGATTTGCCTAAGCTATACAGCCGCTCCGTGTGTTTCCTGTTACACAAGAAAAATAATAATGATGATGATGAACCTCCCAATGTATGACCTTTTCGATGCCAATTTTGCAAAATGAAACACAAAACCGATTCCGTTACACCCCCCCCCCTTCCTCCTTATAGGCTGCGGCCGTTTTATTAAGATCAAAAGGCGCTTTCAGATAAACGGAACTTCTCAATTGAGCAAACAAGGCGCCTTTCAAAGCCTCAAACCGCTGAGCCGGAATGGAATTGTTAAAGGCGCCCCCCCCCCCCCAAAAAAAAAGTCCAGCCTCGAGGGAAAAAATGCTCATCGATGTCAAAAACCTTTAGAATGTTCTTCTTCTTCTTAATTAGCTACAGTTCCTTTGCCGCCCGGCCGCGCGATCCTAATCAGCAACCTCGACCGATGTTGGACATCGTCATCGCCGTATGAACCTGCCAGGGCCCCCGCTTTGATCCCAAGGAGGCATGACGCGCGGTTGTGGAGCAGTGAAGCCGTGGCTGATTAAAGCGCAAAGCAGCGGGGGCTGATCAAAGAACCGCGTCTAATGCTCGCCCCTGTTTGCTCCGGCTGCGTGCCGGCACTTCAAAGCGCTAGACCGACGCACTGTTGACAAAATAAATCTGCTAATTTAAGGAAAGGGCGACCCCCCCCCCGTTCGGACATGAAAAGCAAGGGGGTTTGCCAGTGCGCGGTATAATACACAAATGCTCTCTCCCTCTCTCTCTCGCGCACACGCGCGCGCGCATAAACATTTGCAGACGTCCAAAGACAAAGATCCCCCGTATAGCCTTTGGCAAACTGTTGGGACAAGTGCTGTGAGCGAGCAACGATGAAGGCCAGCACGGCACACGAAGGGTTTGGGTGGACGACACCACGCCCGACCGCCTTTGTCTCCACAACGAGACGATGTATACACACCGCACTAGACACCCGTTTAAGGCTGAGCCGACCTAAGGGAGACCGAGGACTGGTTCATCGATGTTGGCCGTGAGCGGGAATCGAACTCGGGGCGCCGGGTTTCTTAGCGCAGTGCGCTAACCACGACACTACCGCTCCCCTCATTGTCCAAACAGCCACGCACACGTAAAGAGCCGAGTTCACTCCTGGAGCGTGCAGTCTTATTCTTCTTCTTGTTACTACTTTGGCGAGTTGTGAGATCCCTCGCCCTGCTCTAAGAAGCATTCGTACCCCCGTTGCTAGCTCTCCATCACACACGCACAAAAACACTCCGCCAAGAGCGATATGAGAAGCCATCTGGACCTAATTAAAAACGTGTTTGAAAGTGACATGTGACTGACATTAAAGTGTAAAAATCTGGGTTAGGAGAGGCACAAGGCGAAAATAAATCGATGCTAACGCATAGCTTCCAGGGCTTACGTCCCCTTGTCGCCTGCCCTGAAATCACCTATTTTCCTGTACCCAACACCGTGAGCATATATAACATTTTACCACGGCATCCTATTGTGTTTATGTTTAGATTATTCCTTGTTAAAATTCTAAACATTTCAGCCATTCTCAATCCACCACCAATATATCAGGGTCTCCCCACGCCATGGTTGGTCATGGGGTTGTTTGACCATACTTCACCACACTAGTTAGTGAAGGACCGTGGCCAAGAATCGAAGGCCAGTCGCCAGATTCACAGTGCAGCGCGGTCACAATTGCATCACCTTTACAATCGCTATTTAATTTAATTTTATTAATTGTGACCTTTAATAACAACAGAGGGAGGTGCATCAAGTATTGTGTAGCGTACGTGCAGAGGGAACAGATGCAGGCAGCGTGATTGCACTTTTGTGATTACAGACAGCACAATGTCAGAATGTGTGGGCGACAACAAGGCCAAAGGATGAAGAAGGTCTGTGCCAGATTGCGTGACCATCGCAGGCAGAGAAACGATCTCACATCACCAGGGCCGCCCAGAGGTTTCTGGAGGCCACGTGGGGCGAGCCCGCTTATTCCACCATCCTCAGATCGGTTGTGGGGCACTCTCTTGTGTGCGGCCCAGAAAATGTTTTCCCATCTTGTCACCCCTCTCTGGGCGGACCTGCAAAGCACGTGGACACTGGTGGGGTTTGAGATCAATGTGCATCGTACATGTCCACACAGTGGTGGTGCTGGCTCATTGGGGGCCCTAAGCAGAAGTAGTTTTAGAGGGATGGTTTTCAATTTATAAAATTCTATTGAGAAGATGGAAGATACATAGACCAGAGATATAGATATAGTGAGCTTCGATGCAAACAATATAGAGATATAGTGAGGGAAAAAAGTATTTGATCCCCTGCTGATTTTGTACGTTTGCCCACTGACAAAGAAATGATCAGTCTATAATTTTAATGGTAGGTGTATTTGAACAGTGAGAGACAGAATAATAACAAAAAAAATCCAGAAAAACGCATGTCAAAAATACTATAAATTGATTTGCACTTTAATGAGGGAAAAAAGTATTTGACCCCCTCTCAATCAGAAATATTTCTGACTCCCAGGTGTCTTTTATACAGGTAACGAGCTAAGATTAGGAGCACACTCTTAAAGGGAGTGCTCCTAATCTCAGCTTGTTACCTGTATAAAAGACACCTGTCCACAGAATCAATCAATCAATCAGATTCCAAACTCTCCACCATGGCCAAGACCAAAGAGCTCTCCAAGGATATCAGGGACACGATTTTAGACCTACACAAGGCTGGAATGGGCTACAAGACCATTGCCAAGCAGCTTGGTGAGAAGGTGACAACAGTTGGTGCGATTATTCGCAAATGGAAGAAACACAAAAGAACTGTCAATCTCCCTCGGCCTGGGGCTCCATGCAAAATCTCACCTTGTGGAGTTGCAATGATCATGAGAACGGTGAGGAATCAGCCCAGAACTACACGGGAGGATCTTGTCAATGATCTCAAGGCAGCTGGGACCATAGTCACCAAGAAAACAATTGGTAACGCACTACGCCGTGAAGGACTGAAATCCTGCAGCGCCCGCAAGGTCCCCCTGCTCAAGAAAGCACATACATGCCCGTCTGAAGTTTGCCAATAGGCAGCAGGAATGCTGCCTATGACCCCAAGAACACCATCCCCACCGTCAAACATGGAGATGGAAACATGCTTTGGGGGTGTTTTTCTGCTAAGGGGACAGGACAACTTCACCGCATCAAAGGGACAATGGACGGGGCCATGTACCGTCAAATTTTGGGTGAGAACCTCCTTCCCTCAGCCAGGGCGTTGAAAATGGGTCGTGGATGGGTATTCCAGCATGACAATGATCCAAAACACACGGCCACTGCAACAAAGGAGTGGCTCAAGAAGAAGCACATTAAGGTCCTAGAGTGGCCTAGCCAGTCTTCAGACCTTAATCTCATAGAAAATCTGTGGAGGGAGTTGCAGGTTCGAGTTGCCAAACGTCAGCCTCGAAACCTTAATGACTTGGAGAAGATCTGCAAAGAGGAGTGGGACAAATTCCCTCCTGAGATGTGTGCAAACCTGGTGGCCAACTACAAGAAACGTCTGACCTCTGTGATTGCCAACAAGGGTTTTGCCACCAAGTACTGTCATGTTTTGCAGAGGGGTCAAATACTTATTTCCATCATTAAAATGCAAATCAATTTATAACATTTTTGACATGCGTTTTTCTGGATTTTTTGTTGTTGTTATTCTGTCTCTCACTGTTCAAATAAACCTACCATTAAAATTATAGACTGATCATTTCTTTGTCAATGGGCAAACGTACAAAATCAGCAGGGGATCAAATACTTTTTTCCCTCACTGTATGAGTCAATAATTGTTTTTTTATTTAATCTAGCTTTTTACGTGTATGAAGATTCCAACGGATATTTGATGGAGCACTTTTTTCACAAATCCCAGGCACCTCGGGCTCTTTGGGATTCTCCGCATTTAATTTATCTGATGGTGCCTAGCACAGCCACTGAGTTCATGCGCCTGCTTCAGGGCCGGAACTGGATGGGAGTTTGAGCAGAAGAGACCGGAGATTAAATAGGATTTTATATTCTAACTGGAAGATTAAAACGTGAAAGATTTTTTTTTTACAAAACGCTTTGTGTTTATATACACTGTTTTGACACCTTCAGTACACTACTGTTTCATATCAAAAGAGAACACACTTTTAACGGGGATATATTGTTCAACTATAAAGCGTGCTTATGTTTTATAAAGTGTGGGACCTTTAAAAGCACGTCTTGTGCAGATTCAAGACACTCTGTTCCTCTCACGCTACACTTAATGCTTGAATTATGCTGGTGCGGATGTTCATGCAAGGGCTAAAATATTGAGGAATGAAACCCGATTTGCCAATGCGTGGAGGTTGATTTGTTTTTCATGGTAGACATTATCAAGTTGTACATGTTTTTATAAGTGCCTTGACTTCATAACTATGCACGCCTTCATGTAAATAACAAATTAAAGGTGCAGCCCTGCAATTGTTGTACTCATGCCACTGCTGGAGAAAGGACTTTCACTAGATTGTAATTTGGCCTACTCTTCCACACGCAGATACAAAGAATACATAACTATTCAAATCACGCTCATAAGTTAACAACCTGATCTACAATTACGCAATATATAAGTATTACCTCTATCGCAATCTATTTCTGACCTGGTAAAAAAATGTTTTGGGGGATATTTGTATAGTCCTGACAAAGACACTTCTGAACTACTTACACAAAATGCGTTTTCTCATTAACCTCTACAATTTATGTCACCCCCCCCCCCCCCTCGCAAAGTTGTTGGAATTATGTTCTAGCGTCTTACAAACGTTTAATGTTCAGAGTTGTGCAATATTAGTGTGTGTTGTTTGAGCTGTTTTTCTTCTTTAGGCATCTAGTTGCGTTTTTTTTAAGTAGACTATTCTATAAAAATAACTTGTAGTTATCTGGCTCCAGGAAGTCGCAGGCAGGCATGTAGTAAATACACAATCGAACCACACTATATTATTAAGGATCATCATCGGCTTCCATTAGTGATATAATCTCCCTGGGCCCGTGGACACCCATATCCATCATCCACTTATCTTTTAGAAGTCCTTGAGCATTTTTTCCCCGCTTCTAATTTCAAGGAATGTTTTTTTGACTTTGGTAACAAAGCTGAAAATATAAAACTGTGCAACCGCGTCGCCATTAACTGGCGCCTTTAAATGCGAGTAAACCATGGGCTTGCTCTGTTTTAATCTTGGGAACGTAAAGAGATAGATGTTTATAGAATAATGCTTTTGACTGAAAACATTAATACTTCAAAGCCTGTCTGCAGTTACCCTTATTGCATACTTTTTCCTACATGCTTTGACATTATTTTCTATGATATGCAATCCGAGACTATATATAGGCTTTACCTCATACGGCTTCAAATTCCACACAATGCCTATAAAAAAAATAAGCCCCGTGGCAAACAAGGAGGTCATTTCCATAGGCATGCACGTTTAAATGTTAGACATGCCCTTATGGCTTTGTAGGCTACTAAGAGGGAAAAGTGAAGCCCTGCAATTTCTATCTCAAGCCACTGCTTTTGGAAGGGCCTCCGATAGATAGACTGCTATGGGAGCCCCTTTAGAGGGAACGTTGGCCTTCTCTTGCACAGTGGCCAGATGTCTTTGTAGAGATGTGAATACCCACACTCTGTCCCACTGCACGTGGCCTACCGATCGACTAACTACTCAGTGAGCATCATAATTATCATCAATCATGATTAATCCACTGCTGGACGAAGGGCTCTCCATGCTGATGCCATCTCTCACGGTGGTGCAATGCAACAATC